TTGTTTTACTAGTTTCAACAAATCCAGGGGCCACCATTTTTGCCAATGTGATATATGCAGAAAATGGAGGATCACAGACTCTCAAAAACATAATCTTTGTTTTATTGACTAAAGTTGCCAACATTTCTGATGTTGCCTATAAAAATAATTGTTTTGATAATGCAAATAAAGAATTTATAAACAATAGTATCGATGTCATACTTAATTTGTTGAAATATTCAATTGGGAGTTGTTTGCATTTTGCGAAGTTGATAAAATCGGTATTACGAATTTTTGATATCTTTGAGTAGAATCTTGCGTAATATCGTCAGATTCGTTTATTTCTTGGTACTGTTCTGCTCGATCGTTCAAAGATACATATCGTAAGACATGCTTTACCATATTTGGATCAGGATTTTTAAAAAGGAAATTATCATCTTCGTTATCTTTATTTAAAACAGGTTGATCATCATATTTTTCGCTAAATACAGTTTCAGGTTTCACCACATCAACATTTTCTTCTATATTAATAAAAACAATCAAAATTACCTCTTCTTTCATATTACATATATTGTATTCATAAAAAACTAAACTAAGTTTACCCAATTCCTCAATATTTGGTACTAATTTCTCAACATTTGACACTTTCGTTTTACAGCGTTTAGGATTTGATCCTTGTACAGTTTGACTATCAGAGCTTTGACCTTTAGAACTTTGATTTGAAGTAGTGTTATTGTATTTAGCAAGAGGCTTAATATTATTAAGAATTTTAGGCTTTGAACGGGTACTTCTTCTCATTATTATTGGGATGGGATATCTTAAAAAGGATAGAAAGTGTATCAATGATAGATTACTAATCAATTTAAAAATATTCTTTATATAGGATTAATTAATCAATCATATGACGAGTCATATAGTATAAATATCATTGATCCTTTTTTATCATTGATCTTTTTATCTTTATTCTTTTTATTTTAAAAAACCTAAATAATAGATTTTTCTCATGCCAAAATGAGCTAATTTTGAAAAAATATATCTGACACTTCGTAAGCCACTCAGTTTACAATGAAAGTTGAAATCCTCTGTAACGTTATAAGAAAGAACTAATTTACTTATTCCTTCAACTTCAAGTATGATGCATATGAAAACTGATACAACTTATAATGATGATCTTATGAACAATGAAAAACGTATCCTGAAATATTTTACTAATGTTAGAAATACATCACTTAATATACATGATAATCATGATCATTGTAATCGTTCTAATAATCAAAAAAAATTGTATAATAATATATTGGAGGATAATAACGATAGTTTAATGTTAGAGAACTCTTTCCAAATAATTTCGATTTGACCAGCGATAACTCGAACAATAATGATGATTACATGAATATCAACTTTTCAAATGGTGGTAATGATAACGATATAAATATTGACCTGGCCGATAGTTATCTGGATGATAATGATAATAATACAAATGTTGACATAGTTGACGATAATTCAAATGATGAAGGTTCTAGTATTGACCTGGCTGATGATAGCTTAAATGATGATAGCTCGGATGATAATGAGTCGAACAATGATGACAATAACGATTTTACATATAACGCTGATGGTAATTGTCATTTTTATGATAATAATACTAAATTACCAGGAAACACAGGTGATGGTGGACCTTACTTTTCAAGTCTTACTGCCATGTGGATGTTTATATAGTTTACAAAAAATGGAATAGGTAATGAATATGAGATTTTAATTTAC